CTATTAAATTTTGCATTAATAACATGGACACTGTAAAATGTTATACTACCACATTATGTTCTCTTCCCTCTACTGCAGTAGTACTGCTGGAGTCCTTGTCTTTCTCCGGATCTTTTCTGCTCTTCTCAATTTTTTCCTCCTCTTCATTGTGCCATGTGTGTTGCTGTATATCCATTCCACTAGTGCATGTCTGAAAATGATAAGGTTTTAACCGCAAGGTAATAGCAGACATACACAAAGCAGCTTTGTATGATGCCCAAGCCGCTCCTTCTGAGATGTTTTGAGGCTGTTTAGTTTCATTACTCTGCATCTGCGGCCTTGGCCCTGAAACGTCCTTTCCACAGAGTGGGGACAACTCAGGGCCTGACAGGTCCTAGTGTGCATAGCATGTGCTCTCTCAGCTGTGGGGTGCCTGGGGGACGCAGGTCCTGTGTAGGCATAGGGTTAGGTACAGTTAGGAAGGTTACTTCCCTAAAGGCTGCCAAATGACACTCAAGAATCAAACATTTTCGTGTTAAAAAAAATATATCCATATTGGCGAAAAAGCCTTTTTCATGTGGTCCACATATAAAGCTATGAGGCACTGTTGTTTCCCTATGACTCTGCAGTAAAGGAAATTGTAGTTCCGGTTGAGTTGTGCATAACAATTTCATTCGAATCCTGCCGATAATGATAAAATGTTGGGGTTTGACCCAGGTGTTCCGAATGTTGCCAGTATATCTTTTACTCTTCTTTAATGTAGTCCTGCTACATTATTATCAAAAGATATCTAGTCTAATGAATTCCAAGATAGTTTAGTTTGATACCAAAATAAAAGGAAATGGAACAGAGTTCAGAATGTATTCTGTATTTAATGCTATCGAAACCTTAGCATGCTTGTTTGATTTGCTGCCCAGTCACATGTACTTGCTGCTGCCTTTGGGTACCCACCGTGGGGAAGTGCTCAGCCCCTTGGTTGTGGCTTTGCCTTTTTCTTCTGTCCTTTACTAAGCTTTGTTGCTGTGAGGACTGTCTTGGATCTTGTTGCTGTCACTGTTACAAATCTTAGCAGTGTTTTCTGTACCTATAGTCCAGGATAAGGTGGGAGATGAAGGGCTGAAGCTTTGCGCTAGGCTCAGGTATGGGAAGAGGAAGGTTTCTGCCAAGTACTGCCACATAGGTTTCCTTCAGAGGTGGGCTGGTTACTTCTCACTTGAAAGTGCTCCAGGCCAGCTGATCCTCCCTGGAAATGTAGACCAGCGAGAGAGCGTTCCCTCAAGCCCAGTGCCATACTGAGTTGACTGAAATTGTACCTGCTTAATACGAAGTAAACTTGTTGTTTAGTGGAGCTAGTGTGTACTACTGTAAACTCAAGTGGAGAGGTACATGCTTTTCTGTACTAGCCCTGTTAAGAGTACTGGCAGTGACTTTCAGTCTTTGTTGTCTCTGAGTTGATGTAAACTTGAATAATTGGTCTGTTGTTACTACTGCTGCTTTTGAATGTGGTCTGACCTTGCATTTCAATACATGGCTATGCATTTACCTTTTGAAAGGATCTTACCATTGATTTTATAGAGAACTCTCCCCTCATATTAATAGTAAGTGCAATTAACAGTTTGCAAACACATGCAAATCTGAACTTGGAGTATTATAAGGACATCTAAATGTTTTCATGTTTTATTGTTTCATTTAAGCTGACTGCTTAAGTCTGATATCTGTTGAAGCACAAAAGGAGCGAACGCTAAAAAAAGTCACACAATAATAGTGACTAATAAATGTTTCAAATAGAAAATGAAGAGCCTAGCTGTATCGTGTGTCAGCACTAATGTTTATTTGTATCATTCCTCTAAGGATCTTAGAGTGCTTTTTAAGCAATGAATTAATTTTGATAATGCTCTGTGAGGTATGTAGGCAATATTATCCCTCTTGATAGAAGGGAGTTGGAAGCACAAAGTGTTTAAATTCTACAGGGTCATGCTACTAGGTACGTTTAATTACAAATTGGAGCAGTTTATTCAGTTTACTACCAGTTTGTTTAAGCTGAACCAGAATCACAAATGTAAGTCCCGGGTTTGTGGGTATGAGAAAAATTTACTTCTAAGTTTATTTTGCAGGAGAAATGTTTATAAAGAAAACTGCAAATAGAGTAATCAATGTGTAAGTCCTCCCTCACTGAGGCAAATAATCTGAATGATTGTAGCTTAATCTGTGGTCTTCCTGATTTTTTTTTTTTCTTCTTTTGCCTGTAATGTGTGTTTAATCATCTGCCATGGATGATTTCTGACACTTCAGAGAAAGGGAATTAAAAATTGCAAACTAGTGTACCCCTGGACCAGTCATGAATTATGACTTTTGCACATGATTGGCTGAATACCTGAAGCGTAAAATTTGTCTAAGATTGTTGTCTTAGTACCTGTTATATGCTTGAGAATATTTAAAAAAAAAAAAACAAACAAACCAAAACAAAAAAAACAGCGGAAATCTTCCTGGTGGGTCAGGAAGTAGGAAAGAAAAGAAGTTGATGGCCAAAATATATACCACCAGAACCATCTAGTATCTCTCCTTACCACCTTTCCAGGTACAGAATTTCTCCTGGAAGTGGAATTGCAGCGTATTTTAATAAAAAAAAAAAATTCATGTCTCTAGATGATTCTCAGATCAGGATTGGTAGCCACTGATGTGGCTAAAACTAGATGCACAGTGTCCTTCAAAGCTACTACTTTGTTCTTTGTGCATTGTTGAAATGACCAGGAAAACGGTTGAGGGCCGTCCAGCAGTAAAGTTATTTCTTTTGCGTCACTAGATGTGGTCTGGCAGGCTCACCTGCACTGTGAGCAGAGCCTGGCCTGAACCCAACTTCTGGTAGGACCAGGTATTTTTGAGACAGGGAGGTAAGTTTAGCATGTTAGGGAGGGAAGGGCTAGTTTTTATGCTCTCTATCCATTTTATGTGGATTTCACCAGCTTTCCTGAAGAGAGTGAGTGCTACAGTTCTTTGTAGCAGACAGAAATGTAGCTGTCGCTCTGCACACAAAATCTGCATGGGGAGGAGGGGACCATTAAGTTTCCTCCCAGCCTTCTGGTGTGGAAGTGGAGCCCAGATGCTTCTGTCTTTCAGATCTTAACAGTTTATTTACACTGTTTTATATAGCGAAGACTGTTTTGCAAGGAAGAGATCTTTAAGTGTGCTTAAAAATGGAAGTCTAGACCCTCCTTCAAGGATTCAGAGGCAGGACGTAATAAAAGGGACCTTTCTGCATCTTTATCAGATTGAAGTGGTCAAATACAATCAGTCTGTGTAAAAGAATGGCACATGTCCAACAAATACCAAAGAGACTTGATAAACCTGATGGGTATTTTAATATAATGATAATAGGAGCCTTAAGAGGGATATATTAACAAAAGATACCTACAAGGACATCTCCTGTATTGAAACTGATCCCTTGCAGTAGGTTTGTGTGCATGGGTGTAATGTGTCTCACTTCCATGTGGCAAGAGAATCAGCTGCACAGCTTCAAATACAAGTAGAAAATCCTGATTTAATTCACACTTGTTGAAGAATTGTTTTAAGTAGTACTCGCTCTTGCTTTCAGCTGTGATCTCTGGCAAGAGGAGCTGTTTGGACTTGTGCCTCTTTTTTTATGTTCCAAAAAGGAATGCTGATGAGGAAGAGGTGTTAAAATATGTTACTGTAGTTTACAACTGTCAACTATAATGTTTTATTTAGCTGTATCTATTCAGATGCTCCCTCCGCAACATGGAGTGCCATATGCCATTGTCCCTGTTAGTAAGCAAGTCGGCAAAGGTTTCCCAGTCTGCATTTGTTTTTTGTATTTGGGCCACTGAGGAGCTGCGGTCCAGTGCCATCTTTTATTGATAGGGCCAGCAGAGGAGGATTCTAATGAAATTATCAAAGCTTTGAATTAATTATGAACTTGAATAAGAAAGCTAAGCTCTCTAGAGCCAAGGATCTCATTACCCATTCATTTTCATTGCATCCTCTTATGGAGCAGAAGGCAGGTTCAGCTACAGCTCCTACCCTGATTTTGGACTTTATTCAAACTTGCTAAACTTGCTAGCATCCACTTGTTATTAATCTGTGGCTGGAAGTGTCCAGGGTGATTAATTTGGCTCTGCTCTAAATCTTCATGTAAATAGTAGATATCCCTCCTCCCTTTCCTCTTACCTTTGCTGTGTAGCTTTTCATCGTCAGACTGGCCGCCATACAAGAGTTTCTGTTCTTTCTTGGTAATTGGGGAAAGCTATTCAAGACTCAAGTTTTAACTCCCTGGCATTTAATGAGTTAATGTTAAGAAATAATACTGCTACCTTATATGTCCTGGATATTTAGGTAAGCACAAACACTTTTAAAGTCATTATCAAAATTGTTTATTTTCTTATTTTAAAAGACTATGGTGTAAAAAGTAACGATTAGATATTTTGGCCTCAGAAGTGTGGGGTTATTGTGGGGTGATTTTGTTGGCTTTTTGTTGTTCCTATTTTAAATTTGTTGGTCAAACTACAGATACTTCTGAATTTGTCAATGCTTTATTATGATGAACAATTAAATCAGTTTGCTTGCCTGATTAATATTCCATTCAAAATTGTTAAAAGTCTGTGAAAATGCAATGTTTTAGTTAAATCAGATTATATTTATTTTAATTAATAGGTCAATATGTAAAAATGTTTCTGGCAAATTAGAACAAAAGCAGTGAGACCAAGCTTCTGTGTAATATTCCTAGTTTTTGTGGATATTCCTCTTAAGTCTACCGGCAAGGATTTTCTTCTCCTCCTGCTTTTGTCCGTTTCAGCACATTATTTATGAATGCATAAACTAGAACCTATCAGTCTTCATAAGTTACAGGCCACTGGCAATTTTTTAAGCAGTGGCTAACTGCCTAATGGTCTCTGTGTATGTGTGCATTTGGAGAATCTAATAGCTTGTTGGGCGGGGGAATAACATTTTGTTCTTGTACTATAGCTATTTTACCATTGGTGATATTTATCTTTTTCTCTCTTCAGGCAGCTGCTATATTTAATTCTGCTTTTGGAAGTTTTTTGGTAAGTAATGCATTATTTATAGCAAGTGCTTTAATAGTCTTATTTTTAACAGTATCATCGGTGTGTTTGTATCTTTCACATTAGTGTTGGTGGAATTCTGCCATTTAGCTGGCAAAAATCTCAATCGTCTTTCAATTTATGTCACCAAGCCATTAAATACAGATATTACAATTTCTTTTCTCTTTGCTAAACTCTTCTCAAGAGTAGTGAATAAATTGTCTCTGCTCATGGTAAATTAATAATGTGTAAACACATCTTAATTTTCTCCTTAATGGGTTAACAGAATCTATTATTATGCAGATGTTTCAGACATGGGCATCAATATATTGATTTTTCTAATAAGGCCCATCAAATACTCATTATTTTCTATCAAGAGGCCATGGATTTTGAAAAGAAAACATGACCCAGCTGATCAGAGAGTAGATGCTAATTTACTCAGTGACATGTCATTTGTTTAGCATATTTCACTGTCAGTGAAGCCACTCAATGTCTCTGAGGAACACACTAAAATAGCTAGATATGGGAAAGCAATCAATCCAGCTGGAAATATAACAGTTTCTGTAAAAAGCTAAAACAGTATTTGTGGGCCTGGTGGTCTACAAAGATTCAGAAAGGACACCGTAAAGAACACTAAATAAATATATTTATAATGAAAGGAAGAATAGATTTCTCTTATTGATATGTTGTTTAGAAAGACATTAATGAATATTAAATACAAATTACTTTATATGTAGGCAAGCTACTGTAACTGATGTTTTATTTATTTAGGCAGCTAATAATTGAATTTGTTCTTCTTTACTAAAATTTGTGCATGTTTAGAAGTGTGCGTTTGCGATTCTAATCTTGTGTCCCCATTAGGAAGACTATGATGTATAAAATGAATGAATGACAAAAGAATTCAAATTAGGAAATTAAAATCAAAACTGCAAGCAGGAAATAACTTACTTTATGCATAATTGTTTTATGAAAAGCCGGAGTTTGGGAGTTTAAGTATGTAAAGCTGTACTGCCAAGAGAGAAAGTTGCGTGGCATTTTGAAGAAAGTTGCATGGCATTGTGCTGCTGCTTTTTTGAGGGACCAGGTTAAAGTTAGGAGGGTAGATGTCAGTTTTATGGGTATAGATGACCATTCACATTTTTAAAATATCAATTCCCAAATATTTGTTCCTTTTTGTCACCTATCATGTTCTCCTCCAATGGGAAGAAGGTACTTTCTGCCTCAAACTGTGGAATCCCAGTGTTAGAGCAACTTTTAAGTCTATGTATGTGCGTGGCATTTCTCTCGCTGCTTGGCACAAGCTCCGGTTTCTCTGCTGTCCCTAGCTTTCAGTTGAGGAGGTTTCCTTGAATACCCAAAGGCCTCGGTTCAGCTGTCATTAGGAGAATGTCTTTTGACTTCAAATAGGAATTTAGGCCCCAGAGCATCTGACTACAATGCTGGCTCCTAGTAAAGCAACACAAACACATTTTAATTTCTAGAACCTTGTTTGTGGCTCTCTGAAGAAATCTCAGTTAAAGAAGCTGAGCTAGTTTGTGTGTTCATGTAATACTCCTGGTTTTGGTCTTAGTTTCATGGACTGATCATTGGAAAGTTCCATTTACATATAATTACCTCATTTCACTTTTTATTCACTTCATATTTTTTTTGAAATCTTGGAGCAGCGTTGCAGTAAACATTCTTGTAAAAAAAATTCCCTGGAAAGACTTTTCAAAAATATTAAAGATCAGCTAGAATCAAACCACAACACCAGTTGATTTTTTTTCTAATTACTGATTTTTTAAAAAATAAAATTATGAAGAAAGTGGCCACTATTATGTCACAAATACATACAAACACTTAGACACTTATTGTGGTATCCTAGTTTGAAATCATGATTATGTAAGGAATATGTATGTATGACAAAATAAATCACAAATATGTTTACTGAAAGCTTTGCTCTTACGGACTTTTCCAGTTACGCAGTTGATGGGATGAACCTTATGACTGAAAATGCAATGGGGTGGTAGTAAGCCAGGGACTGTAATAAGCAGTCAGAGTTGTTTACCAGTTTCACAGTGCTGTAGGTCTCCATGGCCTTTAACTGGGTGGCTCCTGAATGTCACTAGTATGTCGTCACTTACTTTGTAAGTTTTCTGTGAACAACTGGTGAAGCATTAAATATATACACATACACACTTGTTTGAAGTCAAAACTGTTCTATAAAATATGAAAATAATTAGCCTGTTTCTGAGAAGATAATGGAAGGTCCTGGTGGTGTTTTTGGAAATCCACCAGTTTATAATGGTGCCTACCTTACGGGCTTGGCTATAGGTGGAGATCCTATTTCCTATATCTTTAATTCATGATGAATCTAAATCACATTTGCATTTTTCTTATTAGTGTCTGATGATGTGCTGTCTGTGGATGGGCTTAGATGTAGTTATATACCTATGTGACCATAACCATATACATGTCCTGGAGATAATTTGGAAGGATCTGACCATTGGAGAGGCTGCAATTTTTCTTATGTTCCTTGTCTTACAATGTGTAGCACATGGGTGGGTTGCTGCACTTGTGGGTAGCCCTGACAAAGCCAGGAGGACAGTATGTTGTCTGTTCTCAGACTATGCCCTGTGGGCCAGTGCCTGTGTATGATACTGTGAAGCAAGCTGATTTAAAAGGGCTAAAAGATGTGCTATGCTTTTAAGTCTTTTTTCCTTCTTTTTTTTTCTTTTTTTTTCTTTTTTTTTTTTCCTTAAGACTAGGAAATGGTCCTTGAAAAGTTAAATTAAAATAAACTGTGGAACAAAATGTCTGCAGGAAAAGACTCAGCATAATGTTAGAATGATACTGAGATGAGCTTATTCAGATGAAAAGGAACACGTGATAACACAAAATGTAGAAATACCAAATATGTCTTGATGAGCAGAAATACACTTAGATTAAGCATTTGGAGGTGTTTTCACTGGTAAGGAGATTTAAAAAAACTACCAACCAACCGCAAAGTAATTCCTTTTAAACTCTACCAAAGCCCATATTCCTATAAATATGCAGGCAAAACAATGCATGGAGATACTGTACATATTTACACTTAGTTAATAATGTCCCAGGTCTAATTAAAACATAGTGTTTCAAAGAACTAATTGTTACAGAAGAGTGTTTTTATGTAGCTAGATTAGTAATAACTAACGATAGATGAATTCAATTTACATAAATTTCAGCCAAGAGAACATTTAGAATCATACCACAGAGGATTGCTTTGAGTTGGGTGGATAATGTCATTATCTCCTCCCCTCGTTTAAACAGTTTGGTTTACAATAATTGTGGAACATAATAAGTGATTTCAGTTTTTCCTCTTAATGGGTTTTTAATAAAATCTGATAGCGTTTTACTAATACTGGGTGGTTGGTTATCAGCAAGGTTGCTACTGTAAAGCATGCAAATACATGCTAAGATCTGCTGAGATAGAAAGCACTGAGGTAGCTGCTTCCACTTGTAGGATAGGATACTTTTGCACCTAAAGGCTAAAGAAATTGTCTGATATGTTAAGTATGGGTCTGAGATTCTTAACATTGTATGCGTTACCATGCTTCCTGAGCATTTATATTCTGCTTCTAAAGGTTGTCCTGCAACAGAAAAATAATGCTTGTTAATGTCCAAAGTGCAGAGCAGTAGGCAGGATATTGCAAAACATGCTGTGCTGATGATTGTTCCATGGTGTTTGCCTGGGTGGCTCAGCTCTTTGGCTTTAGGTTCACCAAGGCATAGCCTGTCATTGAGGCTGTTCTTGCACTGAAGTGGAGACGTGCTCGGTTGAGAGCTAAACTCAATTTGCAGTGACAATATAACGCCATGTGCATGGAAGAAGGAGAGGGCCTAAAGTCGTAGAAGAGGATGTTCTCGCAAAATGCTCTGCACTGCTAGACTAGAAACATCCTTGTCTACCTCTCTTTCTCTTTCTACCTCTCATTAATCTCCTTTATGCTTGAGACAGTGGGCTTGGAAACTCATGAGAGTATCCAGCTTGTGATGTGAGTGAATGTTGTCTGATTCTTTGGTGCCTTGGGGTTGTGAACAGTAAGTATGAAAGGATCAGCCATCAGCTTCACCTTAAACAAAGAACTGTAACCAAAATCTGAAGGTCTGTTGTGACAGGAAATCAAGAGGAAAAGAGAGAGTTTAGAGGACTCTGCTCTGGTGACCATGGCACTCCTGAAAAAACAGAGCAAAGGGCAGCCAAAAATGAAAGTGTTGGTTGAGACTTCTTATGATGCTGTCTTGGATTAGCTTCGCTTCCTCTATTGAAACCTATGGGATGAAATAAGGCATGTGTCCAGGCTACAGAAGTCAGTTTGAAGGAAGGAACCTATTTCAGGTGCCCATCATTTCATTAATCTCCTTTTTTCAGATTAAATATGTATGGTTTTGTTGTTTTATCTGACTATCTAAGCGGACTGAGCTGGTTCATATTGTTCAAAAACTCAAATAATTTTTGGAGCAGCCACTTGGCTAATCAAATTAAGGCTAGTGTTTTATTTACGTTGTCTTCCAAATGAAAGCTAAAGCTAGCAGGGAATGTGAAAGTTAGCTTCTCACATATACACAAAGCCTAGTTGGTTAATGAAAATGTATGGAATTCTTATCTGCTCTGCTTTAGCAGGCATAATGATTTACACAGCCTGACAGCACTAGTGCAGCAAGTAAATGCATTAGTCATAGTGTCCATTTTTCTTGCAAATTTGTGACACAGATTTAATTATGGGAATGACCAGCAACTTACAAATCTAATTTTGGTAGGCTGAGCCAACTTTTTTATTTTAATAACAATGGATTTTTTAGCAATGATTTCATTACTATTTAAAGAAATCTACCCGTATGGAAATAACCAATTGGCTGAATTTATTTACTTTATTTTACCTTAATGGATGTTGAATGGTTTAGGTTTATTTTGGTTTTTTTATTATCACTTTTTTATCTTAGTTATTTATAGGATAAATATCATTATCTGGCTTAATTATTTC